CTAAGTGATGAACAACATAAATAAATGTTTAATATCTTAAAATGGAAAGAAAAAAAGTTCACACACAAAGTCATATCACGATATCTTAAAGTCTATAAATATTGTTAGTCAACTATAAATGTACACCACAAATAATAGTTTGAAGGAAATAAAAATTTTCACAAAATTTTCAAGCAAGTTCACTCAACGAAGATGAATTGCTTCATGTTCATCCTTTTCTTCACTCTGCTTGCAGAAGGTATAAAAAATTATGATTAGCTGTCAATTTTACATATAATTTACATATTTAATACTTTGTTTGATTTTTTTATGAAAGAGAAAATATTAAGTCTTAACATCCTGTCAAATATTGTAACCAATACTCTAATTCTCAGCTCATATCATCTCGGGCATGTAAGTATTGGAGCTGTCAAGGTCATATATGACCTTATCGCTATACATTTTATGATAAAGAATTTAGTCAGCAAAATAAGTGCGTGCGCGTGCGCACACGTAAATATATAGTTTTTACTTTTTTTAATTTTTAAATCATAATTGTAATTTTGGATAAATAATGAGTATAATTTGTAATTTGTGATAAATATTAAGGTCTATTTAGAAATATATGTTAGGTTATAAATATAATATTTACTTTTAACATATGACTTGAATAACAGGCCTCCCACAATGAATTATAGCCATAAGAATTATTTATTATTAAATCAACGATAATTTCTTAAGATCACCGTGATAGACCCATAAATTCGATTCACCGTGTTAACCTTCACCTTTGATTTATGCCCGATGTTTGAGGAACTTTTTACTCTGCTATTTTAATGGATCTGATACGATTTTTGATCCAAGTAAGTGTACCTTTAATAACTTAATTCATTTAATCAAATTCTAATTTCTAATTTTAATTTATTATGTTTTCTTTTTAGTTTGTGTTGGTTTCGGTTTAATTTATTATGTTTTCTTTTTTGTTTGTATTGGTTTCGGTTTAATTTATTATGTTTTCATTTTGGTTTGTATATGTTTCGGTTTATTTTATTATGTTTTCATGGTTTGTATAGGTTTTGGAACTTGCAAGTATGCTTGATGGGATGGGAAATACAAATATGTTCTATATGAATTGGAATGAAGTAGAATCAGTTTTTAGAAATCTAGTAGTTTTAAGTAGAAACAATTTTTACAAGTTTTTGTTTCATATGTATATGCGAAGGTTATTAGACATTATTAAAATAAGTTGCAGATGAACTAAGTGATGAACAACATAGATAAATGTTTAATATCTTAAAATGGAAAGAAAAAAGTTCACACACAAAGTCATATCACGATATCTCAAAGTTTATAAATATTGTTAGTCAACTATAAATGTACACCACAAATAATAGTTTGAAGGAAATAAAAATTTTCACAAAATTTTCAAGCAAGTTAACACAACGAAGATGAATTTATTCATGTTCATCCTTTTCTTCACTATCCTCGCAACAGGTATAAATAATTATGATTAGGTGTCAATTTTACATTTAATTTAAATATTTAATACTTTGTTTGTTTTTTTGTGAAGGAGAAAATGTTAAATTTGCAAAGGGATTGGTAAAATAAATGAAGAATCATGAAATTTAAACAATTATTATATTATTTAGACATGTGAGTAAGTTATTTATAATTATATTTATTATTGTGATGGTGTACTATAGATGACATGGTGTGTAGGCAAAAACTCTGCTACTGAAGCAGAGCTACGATCAATAATTGATTATGTTTTTAATATTTGGGTAGACTCTGCAATCATACAAGATGGTGGCCAAAATTACTTACCTAATACAACTCTTTCTTTTGTTGGTTCGGGTCTAATTGTTATAAGTGACCCTAGTAAGTTATCTATTAAACACTTTATTATTTGTTATTAAATTTAATTCATTTATGGTAATTTGATTTAATTTGTTTTGTTTGTTATATGCATGTCATGCTACATGCATCTATACTTGATGATAATTGATAATGCTTTAATAAAACTACAATTGAATGTGATTTAAGTAAATCATTGATTATGTTTGTAAATATCAATGACTGATTTTAACTCATCTTTAACTTCAATTGTAGAGTCATTATTTATGAATATGTGGTGATGAAAATATTTTATGTAAAAATATAGTGGAATTGAATTTGACTAGTTCTTTGGTGGTTCAGGACTTATGATTATAAAAAAACAAGGTTGTTCCTCCTGTCAAAAACACGGAGTTTATAATATTTGACTACAAGTCTTAATATCCTGTCAAACATTCACTACGCCAAATAAGCTATTTAATAGCGCTTTTTTTTTTGTTTTTGATAGCGCTTAAAAGTGCTATTAACCGCGCCACTATTGTAAATATTTCTTATTTAATAGCACTTTAAAAGCGCTATTAAAGTACCAATTTATAATAGCGTTTTAATTAAAGTGCTATCAAAGTCAGTATTTTGCATGTTTTTTGTTTGTTTTTTTATAGCACTCTAAACAAAAAGCGCTAATATATAACATATGTTTGATAGCGCTTTCAAATAAAGTGCTAATAAATGGTACATATTTGGTACAATATTTTTAATAAGTACAGTACAATATTTTTTCTTACACAATCATTTTTTTTTGGTGTAAATATAAAATAACTATATTCAATTCAACACAAATAACGTTTTAAGTTACTCATTGCATATATATTATGATCCATCAAATACCAAATAACATTTTAAATTACCAAATCCTATTGTTTCCAAATATCATAACATATAGAATATTAAGAGGGCGTTTGCATAGCCAAATTTGTAGATGCCCATCTATGAGTACTTCAATCCAAACCCAAAAACATACAATCAAATTCTCTAAACAAAACACCAAAAAAATAAGAAAGGATAACAAAACAATCCCATGTAGTAACCACCTTCATGATCCAAAATAATCCTCCAGAAGACAGTCCACTTAGTAGCCGAATCATTGCCATATGTTGATTCCATAATTGGCTTGATTGAAGTCATGTTCTTATCCATTCTCTTGAGCCAGTCTTCACTGCAAGATAAATTCATTTTTGCTTCAGCAATATGGTTCAAACTTGTTCAGTAAACAAATAAATTGAGCAATCTGCCATATTCTAACCTGGTCTGTGTGTAGTGTTTCCCATTTACCAGCCAATGGTTGACGACTGTAACATCATCCTTCACAAATCACCAAAAAATTCAATTACAAGTGAGCAAAATCATGACAAGATATAAAATACACAACAAAACTGTTGCTTCTGTTCTTTTATTCGTTTTTTCTGTTCTAATAGAAAAAAGTAAACATATTTTTTGTTGAATTTTTCTTCATATTTATCTCAGAGGAAATCATAGCTAAAACAACTGTAAGCTAGTATGTAATACGCATACTTGAAAATAAAGAAGTAGATTTGCTGCAGGCATAGTTCCTCCAGTAAAGAAGTATCTTGTAATCCAATCATCTTCATTTTTGTCCTTTACGTATGAGTAGCTAGTAACAGTAATCAAATGACTAGTATCTTTGAGAACTCGAGTACTGTTATTAAGGCATCAACTAATATCGCAAGCAAAAATAACAGACAAAATATGAAGTTTACCTCAAAGTGGTAGGCAAATGCTGTGGCAGAAATGAGCAACAAATAAAAGACCATCCTCTTTCATCCATTTGGATATCTTGTTTAGAAGATCTTTATAGTTCTTCATATGCTGTGACAGGGTTAAAACTTAAATCAAATTTAATGAAATACCACTTCAATGCAGATGATTTACCAACAAAATCAAACCTCAAACATTTCTATGGAAAATATTCTGTCGTAAGAAGCTTCCATTTCAAATGTGCTAATGTCCGCAACAATGATGTCCACATTTTGCAGCTGCAGCTCCCTGACAAGAGGCCAATGCAAGAAAGTGATTTCGGTCATCATACAATAGGTTTTTCACAAATAATAACAGTGTCAAGTAATATACACGCATTTCTCCTCGATAAAAGCTTTTTGAGTTGTGGAATTGCAGATTCCTGTAACTCTGCAATTACTGTAATTCTTGGCAATATATAAAGTAAGAGAACCCCAACCGCATCCAACGTCAAGAACTGTATGACCATCTTTCAGATTTGATCTCTCGCAATACAGTTTCAACATTTCTTCTTCAGCATCTTCCACCGTCTTTGACGTAGAAGAGAAATAACAAGAACTGCACCAGTTCATACATATAAGAGTCTTACACAAATCACAAGGTTATAACTTATATGTGCATATTTAAGCTTATCGTCTATAAACTGCTTTCACCTTATTTTTATAAGCTCTTCAGTTTTCAGAATAGTTTATGAAAACAACTTATAGCTTCTATGAAGTTAGCTATATCAACTAACAAGGCTATCAGTATATGAATCTGTAATCGTACCTGTATTTGAGATTGTTTCCGAGAACGAACTTAAAGAAAGAGGTTGGTAGTTCATAATGCTGAGATTTAGGCTTATCAGTACTAACTGCAATAGGCATCTCTTGTAAAGCTGAAACACTATCATATCATATCAAACAAGATCATGCTTATATTACAAAATCGTAAGATGAAATAGAAGAGAAGTACAATGTGCAAACTGGAGAAGATCAGAGAGCTGAAGTTCAGAAGAAGGTTTGTAAGAAGATCGAAGGCGAGTGGCCAAATATTTTGCTTGGATTGAAATATTCAGTCCTTGGTTGGTGATTACCCCCAAATTTCAAAGATTAAAGAAATAACATTCAGAACCACCTACTACTATACCTACATTTTCTTTGCAAGCAGTATATAAAAAAACAAAAATATAGCCGACATAATTGAAAAGAGTTGTATCTGTCCACACTACATTAGAAAAATACTGCCATGTAGACTAAACTATTCATTAGTCAACTTAATTGGATTGCTAAAAAAATATTCTTGCAAAAGCAATGCACTTTACATGAACTTAATTGATTGCTAAAAAATATTCTTGCAAAAGCTAATCTGATTGATGAAAACATTGAAATGATATGGCAGAAACTGCAGTATCATTTGTTTTACAAGAACTAGGCCAATTTGTAATAAAAGAAACTAGCCAATATACAGTAGAAGAAAGAAATTCAGTAGCAGGGATTGAAAGAGACTTCAATGATATCAAAGATGAACTTGAGAGCATCCAAGCCTTCCTCAAGGATGCAGACACAAAGGCTGCTGATGATGATGATGGATCCAATGGAGTCAAAACTTGGGTGAAGCAGGTGAGAGAAGCGTCTTTTCGCATAGAAGATGTGATTGATTACTACAACATGTTTTTGGCAGAGAGGGCCAGTCATTCTATATTCAGATCTGCACTCCAAATGATTCCTGGTTTGATCAAAACCATGAATCCGCATCACCAGATTGCTTATGAGATTCAAGACATCAAGTTATCACTTGGTAGAATCAAAGAAAGAAGTACAAGGTTCGAGTTTCTGTCTGAAAATGAAGCAGGAAGGACTAAAGCTCCTAGAATTGGTGACCCTCGAATGGCTCCGTATTTCATTGAAGAGACTCAAGTTGTAGGATTTGAGTCCGCGCGAGATGAATTGGTCAGATGCTTGGTGGAGGAAAACAATGAGCTCATGTTGGTTGCTGTGGTTGGCATGGGAGGACTCGGGAAAACTACTCTCGCAAAGCATGTTTTTGATAGCCAGCTAGTGAAAAAGAACTTTGATTGTAGATCTTTCATCACCGTTTCGCAATCGTACACCATCAGAGAGCTGTTGACAGAAATGATAAAGAAATTTTGCAAGGACAACAACGAGCCTATTCCAAGGGGTCTGCAGAATATGGATGATGAAACTTTGATTAATCAAGTGAGACAATACCTTGAGTCAAAAAGGTACTTGGTTTTATTTGATGATGTCTGGAAAGATAATTTTTCTGATGGGATTGAACATGCCTTAATTAGTAATAACAAAGGAAGTAGAATCATTGTGACTACTAGAAAAATGCATGTAGCTGATTATTTTAGGAAATCTTTTCCTGTTCATGTCCATGAGCTACAACGTTTGCCTCCAGACAAAGCATGGGAGCTGTTTTGCAACAAGACGTTTAGAGGGCACTGTCCAACAGAACTTGAGGAGATGTCCAGAGAAATTGTTCAAAAATGTGGAGGGCTACCATTAGCTATTGTGGCCATCGGTGGTCTTTTGTTAACAAAAGCTAAAACCCTCATTACAGCTACTCAAAATCACGAATATCCGTCAACACAAAGACATCATAACGCTCACAAACAACACAGAGAATCAACGGATGGCAGAAACTGAAAAAAGAAATATTACCGGATACAAATGAAGAGAGGGATGACGACGACGTAGGTGAGATGACAAAGGGTTGAGTTCGACGGAGAATGAGATTTTGAGAAATGGCAACTATTATTATAAGAAAACAAATTATAATGCACACATCTTGAGAGAGAAATGTTAGTTCTCTCTTTTCTTTCTAGACAGTGATACTTCTTCTTCTTACTCTCTCTCACAAAAGACCACAACTTGCAGAACAATAACCATGGTTTTTTCTATCTCTCATCCATTTCAACCCCAAAACAAAATCAATCTTTCTCTTAAAATAAGAACAACAACAAAATAGAAATCCAAGATTCAAATCAAGCATTTAAGTTCTCCAACAACAATGACAACAAATCGAGAAAATAGAGGAAAAAAATTGCTTACCTGCAAGCAAAACCGAGAGTGGCTGGAGATGGAGGTCGGAGTCGAACGCCCAGTGGTGGCTGCCGGTGACGCTACAGGGGGCCGGAGTGCGTCGATATTGTGCTGTTGCAGAAGCAGTTGAGTTGTCGCTCGCGGTCGCCGGCGTGTCGTCGGAGGCCAGTCAAGGCTATTACAAAATCAAGAACTAAGAACATATACACTTTCAACCATTCGAAATTACATAAAAGTGACAATTTCAATCTAACTTATGAATATATTACATCAAAGTCCATAAACCAAAATTCAATCACATCCGAAAACCAGCCATATCACCTGTGTCACATTTAAAGTAAAACTATAAAAATGTTGCAAGTTAATGAATGTCCTAATTCTACGAGTTCATGTCAAACTTCATGCTTCAAAACTCCATGAACTTTTCTACACCATGCTAGTTTCAACTTTGCATCATGGACCATTGGATCAAACTATGTTATAGCCCTGCTCATTCAATTTAACAAAACCGAATGAAAAAATCGAGCCTAAATAATATCACTGCTGTATCAAAGCTTTACCAAACAAAAAATGCCTCACACTCAAAATAGAGAAATCAAGGAAAACATTGGAAACACAAAAATATAAAATCAGAGCGAAAACTCAAAAGATGGGAATTCCCAAACTAACCTCATACCAGATTTAATCTCAACCTTCAACTTTTTGTAACTAACTTTAATCAAAAGGTTAAGATTTTCTATTTCCTAACAAACTCATAACAAATTAATACAGAAAAACTCACTGGAGATTCATTCATTCTGGATTTTGCAGAAGAATCACCAAAAAATAGCTAAAACACCCTAGTTCTTCTCATATTCTACTTCACCTTCATTCTTCAACAACCATTGGAGAATAAGAAAATACCAAAAAAAAAAACTCAGAGCTTGATCTTTCTCTGAACCACCTCAATCCATTCTCATTATTCTTCATAATCGCTGAAGAATCACACAAAAACCCTCTCAAACTATCTCTTCTCCTCTCATCTTCATCATTCTTCATCAGTTACTCGAGAAAATTTCTCTCTGCATTCTCTTTCCATAACTGTTTCTCAATCTGCATCTTCACCATCTTCCGCAAATTCTTCACAGTTCCTCATTCATCACACCGTAACCCTCAACAACAAAGTCCTCAATGCTCTACTCTCTACTTCAATCTTCGATCATCATTAAGTTTCAGCTTCACAAAAAATGCAACGCACATCAACATAAGGTTCAAAATCACGAAGAAGAGAGCAAAGAGAAAGCGTACTTGAACTATTTCTTAAGAATATCTGGATTTCTATTCGATATCTTCGTCGCTACGAAATGCCATCGGAGCGAATCCGATCGGTAAGTATCATCTCCTCTAAATCTTGCATATCTATGTTTCTTCAAGCTTGGCGTCTAGTTTAAGTCCGTAGAAGCTAAATCGATACCGGTGTGGAGTTCGTGGATTAAAACTCCAACTTAAGGTTGAGAAGAGGTCGATACGCGATGACAAAGATGGAGGCGCCGTTGAGTGGTGAGTCAGAGATCACCAGAGAAAGAAGTGGACCACCACGTCTGAGTAGAATTCGTTGAGAGACAAGTCAGAGACCATGATATGGTGAGCGATTAGCGTATAGCTTGAGGAATCAGAGAAGAGGGAGTTGTATTTTTGTGAGAAGATGAAGACTCAATTCTTTAACCCTAACCCCAATTCAATTTTATTTGCATTTTCTTTTAGTTTTAGATAATTAGAAGTGAGCTAAATCTGACTAAAAATGAAAATGTGTTTTGTTTTTTTTTTATCAATTAATTAATTAATTCATTATTATATATAACATAGCGCTTTTTAATAAATGCTATTATATAGGTAGTCAAATAATAGCGTTTTATACAAAATGCTATCTTAAAGAAGTTTAATAATAGCGTTCTGGTACAAAGTGCTATCATAATTACATAGTCTGTATTATATAATAGCGCCCGATTAAAAAGTGCTATTATAAATGTGTTTTTTCCATTTTAATAGCATTTTTTTTAAAAGTGCTATTAAATTAGGTGATACAAAAAATCATTTTTGGCGTAGTGATTGTAACCAATACTCTAATTCTCAGCTCATATCATCTCGGGCATGTCAGTATTGGAGCTGTCAAGGTCATATATGATGTTATCGCTATACATTTTATGATAAAGAATTTAGGCAGCAAAATAAGTGCGTGCGCGTGCGCACACGTAAATATATAGTTTTTACTTTTTTTAATTTTTAAATCATAATTGTAATTTTAGATAAATAATGAGTATAATTTGTAATTTGTGATAAATATTAAGGTCTATTTAGAAACACATGTTAGGTTATAAATATAATATTTACTTTTAACATATGACTTGAATAACAGACCTCCCACAATGAATTATAGCAATAAGAGTTATTTATTATTAAATCAACGATAATTTCTTAAGATCACCGTGATAGACCCATAAATTCGATTCACCGTGTTAACCTTCACCTTTGATTTATGCCCGATGTTTGAGGAACTTTTTACTCTGCTATTTTAATGGATCTGATACGATTTTTTTTGATCCAAGTAAGTGTACCTTTAATAACTTATTTCATTTAATCAAATTCTAATTTATAATTTTAATTTATTATGTTTTCTTTTTAGTTTGTGTTGGTTTCGGTTTAATTTATTATGTTTTCTTTTTTGTTTGTATTGGTTTCGGTTTAATTTATTATGTTTTCATTTTGGTTTGTATATGTTTCGGTTTATTTTATTATGTTTTCATGGTTTGTATAGGTTTTGGAACTTGAAAGTATGCTTGATGGGATGGGAAATACAAATATGTTCTCTATGGATTGAAATGAAGTAGAATCAGTTTTTAGAAACCTAGTATTTTTAGAAATCTAGTAGTTTTAAGTAGAAACAATTTTTACAAGTTTTTGTTTCATATGTATATGCGAAGGTTATTAGACATTATTAAAATAAGTTGCAGATGAACTAAGTGATGAACAACATAGATAAATGTTTAATATCTTAAAATGGAAAGAAAAAAGTTCACACACAAAGTCATATCACGATATCTCAAAGTTTATAAATATTGTTAGTCAACTATAAATGTACACCACAAATAATAGTTTGAAGGAAATAAAAATTTTCACAAAATTTTCAAGCAAGTTAACACAACGAAGATGAATTTATTCATGTTCATCCTTTTCTTCACTATCCTCGCAACAGGTATAAATAATTATGATTAGGTGTCAATTTTACATATAATTTAAATATTTAATACTTTGTTTGTTTTTTTGTGAAGGAGAAAATGTTAAATTTGCAAAGGGAATGGTAAAATAAATGAAGAATCACGAAATTTAAACAATTATTATATTATTTAGACATGTGAGTAAGTTATTTAATTATATTTATTATTGTGATGGTGTACTATAGATGACATGGTGTGTAGGCAAAAACTCTGCTACTGAAGCAGAGCTACGATCAATAATTGATTATGTTTTTAATATTTGGGTAGACTCTGCAATCATACAAGATGGTGGCCAAAATTACTTACCTAATACAACTCTTTCTTTTGTTGGTTCGGGTCTAATTGTTATAAGTGGCCCTAGTAAGTTATCTATTAAACACTTTATTATTTGTTATTAAATTTAATTCATTTATGGTAATTTGATTTAATTTGTTTTGTTTGTTATATGCATGTCATGCTACATGCATCTATACTTGATGATAATTGATAATGCTTTAATAAAACTACAACTGAAGGTGATCTAAGTAAATCATTGATTATGTTTGTAAATATCAATGACTGATTTTAACTCATCTTTAACTTCAATTGCAGAGTCATTATTTATGAATATGTGGTGATGAAAATATTTTATGCAAAAATATAGTGGAATTGAATTTGACTATTTCTTTGGTGGTTCAGGACTTATGATTATAAAAAAACAAGGTTGTTCCTCCTATGAAAAACACGAAGTTTATAATATTTGACTACAAGTCTTAACATCCTGTCAAACATTGTAACCAATACTCTAATTCTCAGCTCATATCATCTCGGGCACGTCAGTATTGGAGCTGTCAAAGTCATATATGACGTTATCGCTATAAATTTTATGATAAAGAATTTAGTCAGCAAAATGTGCGCGTGCGCACACGTAAATATATAGTTTTTACTTTTTTTTTTAATTTTTAAATCATAATTGTAATTTTTGATAAATAATGAGTATAATTTGTAATTTGTGATAAATATTAAGGACTATTTAGAAATATATGTTAGGTTATAAATATAATATTTACTTTTAACATATGACTTGAATAACAGGCCTCCCACAATGAATTATAGCCATAAGAATTATTTATTATTAAATCAACGATAATTTCTTAAGATCACCGTGATAGACCCATAAATTCGATTCACCGTGTTAACCTTCACCTTTGATTTATGCCCGAAGTTTGAGGAACTTTTTACTCTGCTATTTTAATGGATCTGATACGAGTTTTTGATCCAAGTAACTGTACCTTTAATAACTTATTTCATTTAATAAATTTCTAATTTCTAATTTTAATTTATTATGTTTTCTTTTTAGTTTGTGTTGGT